AAAAAATTATTACCTAGCTGTTTTTTAATTTTTTTCTTAGTTCTTCGACATATAGTAGTGGTTAATTATTTCAGAATTACGGTTTGAATTTCATCAAAATCGGACGACTATATCATATAGTTCCTATAGAAACATGAAAAATATATAAAATATTTTTTTTAAATGTATCTTTTCTATTTTGTAATTTTTTTAATTCCTTTAGACATATTAATAATTTGGCAGTTTAGAATTACGCTTTTAATTTTATTTAAATCGGAAAATGATATCATATAGCTGCCATAGGAACTATCGAATAATTAAGCTGCAAATCATCATAGCTTCAATGTTTTTAAACATATACGCAAGTAAATCATAATTTTATTGTTTTCAAGAATATTTAGTTTTTGCAATAGTTGCATGGGCATATGAACTTCGGTTTGCCGAAGTGTGCTTCTTTTCTTGTTCTTATTATTTAACATGCGTTCCCTAATCACTAATGGCAGTAAATGTAGTGACGATGAGCACCGGTAAGGAGACTACTATATATAGCCGCAATATTCGAAGCCAGCTAAAAATAGTTCGATCTTAAAAAATTATATAGCTATCAAAAGGTCTCCTTTTTATAAAACTTTGTGGATATTTGGTTTCTGAGAAATGGTGGTGAAAGGACAAAAGAAATTTTTTCTTTTACTGGAGCTGTTGGGGCCGGTGAAGCAAAAAGTCTTACTTTTATGGGATGGTTGTATTAAATACGCGTCCAACAACACACCGCTATCTCAATCCGATACTCGGTTAAAAAGATATTCAATAAAAAAGACAAAAACAGTATTTTTCAAACAAAAACGTTTTTTTCGTTTTATACTGTATTAGTAGTTCAAGCTGAAAAACTTTTGTTCTACCACTTTTTGGAAATGCCGCTAGTTTAGCGGGAAAGCGGATAAAAAAATCTACGGTTACGTGCGATATATAGTTAAAAACATTTTTTTTCAAGGCTATTTACGTTTAAAAATATTTTTTTCAAGCCAAATAATTTTGAAATTATAGCCAAAATTAAGTTTTTCTGCTCACATTGTAGCGAGTTTTTTTAAAACGGCAGTATAGATTTCTTTTTATTTTCGAGTTCTTATAGCTTTTGAGATTACGCAATTCTAGAATCTAGAGTCTAGATATATAACACATTCTTCTCTAAGAATTCTCTTTTGGGAGTTATTTAGCGTTTAAAAATGCAACCCATCTTATATCTTTTAAATTATGCTTATTTGAGTGAGTAGAAATTTATGCAAGACCAATTAGATAATTATTTTGTGATCAGAGGACAGGACTGCAAAAGGTACTGACGTACTTTTATAAAAACAAGAAAGGAAGCCAACTTCGGCAAGCCGAAGTTCATATACCCTTGCAGCTATTACAAAAATTAAATATTCTTGAAAACATTACAATTGTGGTTTACTTGCGTTTATGCATAAAAACATTGGAGCTATGATGATTTACAGCTCAGTTATTCGATAGTTCCTATTGCAGCTATATGATTTCGTTTTCCGATTTTAATAAAATTAAAAGCGTATTTCTGAACTGTTAAATTATTAATAAGTCAAAAAGCATTTAAAAAAAAAATTACAAACTAGAAAAATTACATTTTTTTAAATTTAATTTTTTTTAATATTATTGTTCCCATGGGAACTTTATTTTATAGTCTTCCGATTTTGATGAAATTAAAGCCGTAATTCTAAAATATTTAACCATTACTATACGTCGAAGAACTAAACAAAACAAATATACAACAGCTGACTTATAATATTTTTCATTTTTTTTTCCGATTATTCCTATGGGAGCTACATGCTATAGTCGTTCGATCCGGCTCGTTCCCACTTATATACTACCTGCAATAGAAAGAAAGTTTCATGCAGATAGCTTTAAAACTGAGGGAATAGTTTGCGTAGAAACGGACGGACAGGCGGACATGGCTAGATCGACTCTCCTAGTGATGCTGATCAAGAATATATATATACTTTATAGGGTCGGAAACGTCTCTTTCACTGCGTTGCAAACTTCTGACTGAAATTATAATACCCTCTGCAAGGGTATAAAAACTGAACATTACCAAAAAACATAAACAAAAAAAAAAGTAATCTATCCAATGTTTGTTGATTCAAGGCTTTTACCTCCTAGGCTATACACAACCCACTTGCTGACATTTGAGAGGCGTCTAGGTGGTCGTTCCCTTTTGTACCCCTTTTGTAAGAATGCAAGTTGCATTCGTGTGACCCTGCAGTTTTGTTACATATTGTTTCCCACAAAAAAATATATATGTGCCTCGGATTAACAGGGCAATAATTGATTTCATTTAAGCTGTAAACCGTGTTTGACTCGATTGCAGATTCATCAGCGCCGAGAACGCATAGTGATAAGTCAAATCAAACAGAGTGTGTCTGGGTTGGGTGCTCCGTTGAAGAAGGAGGGGGGTGGGAGGAGCGAAAACATGGAATGGCTGTGTTTGTGTCGATTGATAAACGCGAGTACGTTTTTAGGGCTTATTTTTCAGATGACCAAGCGGGAGACAACAATGAGTAAACAAGAGCAACAGCGGGTAATAAAGTTGATTGCAGCAGTGGCAAATTGAATATTTGCCTGCCAGTGTGTGCGTGGCGTTTGTTTGCTCGCATTGTTAAATGAAATGTCCGCATCAGCAAAGTAGCAAATAGGATGATAAATGAAGCATCGAGAGCGGAGAGAGTGGCTGTGAGTGACTACCATTGTTAGCGTTAATGGTTGTGAGCAATCCTCCTTTCGGGTTGCCCCCCGCCCCCGTAGTTTGCTACCAAAATACAACCCTTGCTCTCTGCATCAATTCGCTCTCCCCACCAAGCTGTTGCTTCAGATACGTACAACTGTTGCTCTGCGTTTCTCTCAAGCTGCCAATCCTGGGCTCTAGCTGTTCTTTATTTATCCCGCTTGTGGTAAGCAAATTCCACTCAGAACAGTTCTTGCTATCACTCATTTGATTACTCACTCGCCACAGAAGGGGGATTACATGCCACTTCCACAAACGGCACCATAGCGGCGATAAGTAAAATTTTCTCCACATAAAGTAGCACTGACTTACAAATTTAATGTTTTTTTATTTGCTGCAACTTATTTTCTGAACCAAAAATACGATCTATCTATCTATCTATCCATCTATCTCTGTATAGTATCTCAAAGAATATTTTTATAAGTCTCTTCTATTAAATTTTTATTGGGACTATCGACTTTTTTAAAGTATTTTTCATCAAAAATATAGATGCACAATTTAAAAACTTTAATTTAACGATGGATAGATAGATTTGTGTTTTCAGCATCTGGTAGTGTTTGGATTCCGTGCTAATCTAAACTAATCATCTCATCAAATCAATTTTTGATACTTGTTCTGAAGTAAAGCGTTTTCTCGTTGATCAACATAAGCCATTTTTTATACCCTTATATAGTTATAATTAATATTATAATTTCAGTCAGATGTTTGCAACGTAGTGAAGGAGACGTTTCCGACCCTATAAAGTATATATATTCTTGATCAGCATCACTAGGAGAGTCGATCTAACCATGTCCGTCTGTCCGTCCGTTTCTATGCAAACTAGTCTCTCAGTTTTAAAGCTATCTGCATAAAACATTCCCAAACCGAGCCGGATCGGACGACTATTGCATATCGCTCCCATAGGAACAATCGGAAAGATAAATGAAAAAAATTATAAATATTTAAATATTTTAGAAATACGTTTTATTTCAGAATTAGGACTTCCATGGGAACAATAAAAATATTTAAAACAACATTTTTTTAAAAGTGTAACTTTTCTATTTTGTAATTTTTAATTCTTTTTGACTTATAAATAATTTGACAGTTCAGAATTACGCTTTTAATTTTATTTAAATTGGAAAACGATATCATATAGCTGCCAGTGACACATATTAAAGCGAGTAGGTAAATGACAGACAAACAACAATGTGGTGTAGTTCGATACACATAATTCTTCTTTCGTTTCTAATCAAATAAATTGAATTATAGTAATTTTATCTTTGGATTGGACCCTTTCGGAACCATCCATATATTCAGATAATGGTATAGACAAAGTAAGATTCAGTCTACCTATAAATTAAGTTAATGCTTGGTATTCAGGCTACCAAATTTCTCCCCAAAACAAAAAAATTCATATAAAAAAAAGGCCAAATTGACCAAAGGGTATTATATATATAGTATATACAAGTATTATAGTATTTTTGTCAGAAGTTTGTAACGCAGTGAAGGAAACATTTGCAACCCCATAAAGTTTTTATAGTTTTGATCACATCTGACCACACTTTCTTAGATAACTAAACTGCCAATTAATAAAAAAATGTATCTATTTGTTTTTATTCTTTATCTCCCTCTTTAATTACAATCAAACACTTTTTGGTTTTAATTCCAACCCTCCGACATTTTGTAGGTCCGGGGTTATGGTGAATTCGCTATGTTGCACAGTGTAAATAAGCTTTGGATTGGCAGCAGGTCCTCGGCTATACTCTGAATTGTTTACATCAGCGGAGGCGTAATAACAAAAGCATCAGCTGCTCTCTTCCGCCCTCGTGCTCTCTTGGCGCGGTGGAAAAGCGAGAGCACTTGCTCTCCGCTCTTTCGCGGTCGGCTCTCTTTGTGCGGCGGCTGCTGTGCCGCGCCGCCAATTTGCAAGAAAATTAAGTACGTTTCGTTTGCAGTTGTGGAAATCAACGAGGAGAGCAGCGGCGCACTCTCCGCAAGGAAGCTGAGCTGCCAACGGCCAGTGAGAGGTGACGAGTGGAAAGTGGCAAGTGGATGTACCAAAATGGTGCTAATCGCATGTTAGCTGCCCGTTGCAGCTGAAGTTTTCGTCAGAACACGCTTTTCGGTTTGTTTTGGTTGTGGCTGCCTATTTTGTCCGCCCTAATAAATAGTGTGTGTATACGCACACTGGCATAGACCCGTGCGAGTGTGTGAGTGTGTGAGTGTGTTAATTTTGCCGTGTTGCCGAATATCTGTGTCTGTATCTGTGGCAGCCAATAGTTGTGGCAAGGCCCTCGAGCTACTCACAACAGACAACAACAGCATCAGCATCCCCCAATAAGTGGCAGCAACTGCGACGGTCGGCAGAACAACGGCAGCCGCGTTTGTTGTTAATTGAAATAAATTGAAATAAATTCCCCGACTTTGCTGCTCATATTGTTAATAAAGAGCGGACGGGCAACGGTTGAACCAGCGGCAGTAAACAATATACAGTGAGCAAATGTGGTGTTTAGTTCCATGCCAGGCGTCAAACGACTTTGTGTGAAGAAGAGCATAGAGAAAGACCGAATGCCATGAAAATCCAAGGAATTCCGGTCGAAAATAAGTGAATATCTCAATGTTGGTATCACAACCAGTGGCGTTTATTTATAGCCCCCAGTGTGTTCTCATTAGTGAGTGTCTGCGCTGCACTGCAAACTGCAAAATGAGTAAACGAAAAATTTTGGCAAAACTTGAAGGGAAAACGAAGTGGAGAGTGCAATAAGAGAGAGCGAGAGGTCCTACCAATCCCCATCGTAGGATATACTTTCTCCCCCGATTCTCAGTCGGATTTCCAGTCACAGTCCAAATATTTCGATCGAACACAATACTTTCTCGCCGAGTTAGATTTACCTCGTGTTCTTAGAACACCATTGTTTACACTATTCGTTTATTGTTTAGCTAACAGCCACTTATGCGAACTTCCACTTGTATACAAGCGAAATTCATTAATTGTGGTGGAGGGGGAGGGGTGTGATATAGATTATTCCCCATGCCAACTGCCAGACCATAATCAATTTCATATTTGATTTGTCCTCTGCTATTTATGTCTTGTTTTTATTTGTTCAAATCAAATACCAACCCTACCTACTGGGGTCATTGCACTTAAGATGCGTGGGTGCGTGAACCAAAACCTCTGAACCCAGCCACGACTGCCCGCGAAAGCGCCGAAAAATATGCAACGGCCATTTCCACCATCAGCATAAGCTAATATTAACGATTTTCTCACTTCATTTCCTCGGTCACTTCGCAGCGCAGCATCCAGCGACACAGGACATGCGCAGTGGCTTCTTTGGTAGTTGCAGTTTGGCTAACAACGCCTGAAAGAGCGAATGAACATGGCCTTCTCCCGCCATAACATCGAGAAGCGCCGACTCATCGAGCTAGTGCGCCTGAACCCCATCCTCTGGGACTGCCGCCTGCCCCACTACAAACGCTCCGACAAGCGCAAGGCCATCAAGTGGAACGAGCTCGGTCGCCTTTTCAACGTCAATGGAGAGCGAGTGCAGCGCACCTTTACATCGCTCCGCGAGATCTTCCGCCGCGAACTGAACCACGAGAAGATGCTGGGCACCACACGCTTCAAGTCCAAGTGGGAGTACTACGACGCCATGGCCTTCCTCAAGGAGGTCATTCGTGAGCGCAAGTAACAAGGCTCTTTGACCTGTTCAGAAATATTTAGCAAACTTATCAAATTTTCTACCTAAAGCACTGGCAAAGAGTATGAAAAGTTAGGGCTGTCCATATCTACTGGATATTCAAATAGTATCTGCACTTTTTTACATTTCATATAAATTAGTTTTAGTTTGACTTTAAGTGATTTTTTATTTGTCAATGAGGATAAATCTGCGTATAGCTGGGGTTTTTTTTGAAGTTGTGAACTGAGCCCACTTTTAAAAGGTACTGTTTTACTAAAATACTAGTACGAAACTTCTTAATATATAGGAAATCAGTTAAATGTTCGTGGTTTTTTTGGTAATTTTATTTAAGTTATACATATATAGTTTTTACCAAAATTAAGAAAAACATATTTTTTTTTTTTTTACAAAAATTTAAAAACAGAATTAAATGATCGATTGATCCTTAGTCTAAAAAGTTTTTAAATAAACATTTTAAAGAAAACATTTCTAGGAATCCCGAGAAAATGTATCACAAAACACCAAAATAATTTACTTTTTTTTTAATACAAAAAGGAAATATTTAAGTCGACAAAGGTTTTATTACCCTAAATTTCAAAGTAAGACCGACATAACGGGGAGAGGTAAAAGAAAAGTTCTACCAAGACCCCAAAAAAGACCTCGATATGGTAAACTTTTAGATAAAATTTGGGAGCTACAAAACTCAATGTTGAAAATACCTTAAAAAGATATTGACCAAATTTTCTAATTAAATACATTTGTTTTCGACGCTCCATATACATTTTTTCTTTAAATTGTCTCCCCGGCTTATAGTGGACAGCCTTTTGGAACAGTACCAAAAGGGGGGTTTGGACCGGACCTTACTTTTACTTACTTACTTTTACTTTACTTTTACTGTAAGTGTATACAGTTGGTTGAAGCACTTACTTATTTCCCGTTTATGGTGTAAACCCTTTTCATACTCTTGCAAATGGTATTATAACTTCAGTCAAAATTTTTCAACGCAGTGAAGGAGACATTTCCGACCTTATCAAGGACTTTATTCCTTATCAGCATCACAGAGTCGTCCAAGCCATGTGCGTCTGTCAGCCCGTAAATTTCCACGCAAACTATTTTCTCAGTTTTTAAGCTATCCTATCTACATTTCCCAAAGGGTGTCTATCTATTGCAGATAGTATATAAGTCGAAACGAGCCAGATCGATCGACTTTATCATATAGCACCATGGGAACAATAAAAAATTTAATGTTTTTTAATTGAATATATATAAATGTATATATATTTACCCATCACAGCCATATAATCGATCGAATAATTCAGCAGAAAATCATCAAAGTTATACTCTTGTTAAAAATTTGTATACCCTTGCAGAGGGTATTATAATTTCAGTCAGAAGTTTGCAACGCAGTGAAGGAGACATTTCCGACCCTATAAAATATATATATTCTTGATCAGCATCAATAGCAGAGTCGATCTAGCCATGTCCGTCTGTCCGTCCGTTTCTACGCAAACAAATCTCTAAGCCTTGAAGCTATCTGCGTGAAACTTTCCCAAAAGTTGTCTTCCTGTTGCAGGTAGAACATATGTCGGATCGAGCCAACGATCAGACGTCTAAAGCATATAGGAACAATCGGTAAAACAAATGAAAACAAATTATAACTTTTCTGTTTTTAAAATTTTTTTTGGTTCTTCGAGATGTAGTAATGATTAAATATTACGGTTTTACGGTTTAAATTTCATAAAAATCGGACCACTATATCATATAGCAACCATAAGAACAACGGGAATATTAAAAAAAATAAATTTAAAAAAATTTAACTTCTCTACTTTTGTATTTTTTTTTTTGGAAATTCTTTTGAGAATAGTACGATTTTAATTTAATTCAAATCGGAAAACAATATCATATAGCATATATCTGCAATAAGTACGATCAAAAATTGAGCTGAAAATCATCAATGTTGAATCATAGATTCAATGTTTTTAAACATATACGCAAAAAAATCATAATTTTAATGTTTTTATGAACATTTAATTTTTGGAACACCTGCAAGTTTGTTTCGTTTCTTGTTTTACCTAAAAAAGCTTTAATAAGAACTTTTTAGATTCGAATTGTTTTGCATTTTTAAACGCTGAATTACTCCCAAAAGCGAATTATTAGAGTAAAATGTGTTATATATCACAAATTGCTTAATCTCAAAAGCTATAATGACTCGAAAATTGCTGAGAAGTGAAAACCTTCTTGTTTTCAGTACCCTAAAACATAGCTTTGATACGCACACACAAGCCAAAAACGGAAAAATGTTCTCATTTAGAAAATGCTGTGTTTTGTCTTGTTTATTGAATATCTTTTTAACGGAGTATCAGATTGAGATTATTGTGGTGTCGTTGGACGCGTACTAAAGCCAGAACAAAACCATGCCATAAAAATAAGACTTAAGCCGGCCCCAACATCTCCAGTATAATACAACATTTTTTTCGCTTTTTCACCCGATTATCTCCCAAACTAAATGACTTTCTAAAACTCTAAGTATGCACTCTAAGTATACCTTTTGATTGCTATATCATTTATTAAGATATGAATATTATTTGCTGACTTCGAGTTATGCGGCTATTAATTTATAATTTTTTTTGTCGTGGTGGACGAAAATGCCGATATATATAATATAATCTGGATCTTCAAATTGTGAAATTAATTTTTGTTTCGTCATCTTTTTTCTGTTCATCCAAACATATATTCGAAAAGACATCTCATCTTCAATGCCGTATCTTCTTCCGTATCTTGCAAGCCACCAAAAAACTACACTTTAATTTACGAGATGCGTTGAGCTAAAGTTTATTTTAATGCATGTCATGGACTTTCCCATCTGTTTGTTGTAGAAATATTGAATTCATTTAATTTTAATGTATTGCGTAACAGCTCAAGTAAAAAGTTTTTGTTTAATGTTTTATAGATTGAAAACGATGTCCAATATATTTTTTTATGATATATTTCAATCAAACAAAAACACATCTGCCCTTAATCTAAAACATTTAGTTTGATATGTGTTTTCTTTCCTCGTATTTTTATAGGGGAATCGAAAAAATTAAACTAATATAAGCACATTTTGCATTTACTCATAAGACATTTTGAAATATTGATGCAAAGTGCATTGCACGTTTTGTTTTCATTCATTTTTATACCCTTGCAGAGGGTATTATAATTTCAGTCAGAAGTTTGCAACGCAGTGAAGAAGACGTTTCCAACCCTATAAAGTATATATATTCTTGATCAGCATCACTAGCAGAGTCGATCTAGCCATGTCCGTCTGTCCGTCTGTCTGTCCGTCTGTCTGTCTGTCCGTCCGTTTCTACGCAAACTAGTCTCTCAGTTTTAAAGCTGTCTGCATGAAACTTTCCCAAATTTTTCTTTCTATTGCAGGTAGTATATAAGTCGGAACGAGCCGGATCGGACGACTGTAGCATATAGCTCCCATAGGAACAATCAGAAAGAAAAATACAAAAAAAATTATATCTTTGCTTTTTTTAAATTTTTTTTTAAGTTCTTCAACATAAAGTAATTGTTAAATAATAACAATATATAAAATAACATCTAATAATTGAGCTGCAAATCATCATAGCTTCAATGTTTTTAAACATATACGCAAGTAAATCAGAATTTTAATTCTTGCAATAGCTGCAACAGCTCCAATATAAGAAACAAATTTTCTCGCACTTTCACCCCCATTTCTCCGAAACCAAATGACTTTTTAAAACTCTTAGTATGCACACACTCTTATAAAAGCAATATTTTCCTATTGCTGTATTATTTAATAAGATCGGACTGTTCTTGCTGTTTTCCAATAATGAGCTATAGTCTTGTATCTAGTAGTCTCCTTGTGCACGCTTTCCCGTGCTCATCGTCACTACGTGTACTGCCGACCACAGTGATATACTTTTTTTCCGTTCTCAGTCGAGGCATGTGCTTTTTCATTAAAGCATTTTGTAGGTAAATTGCTTTCATATTATGTTAACTAATAATATATTATGAACTATGCTTATAAACATAAAGTAATTTTAAATTTCTAAATTAAATTGCTTCGTTCTGAGAACAAAATGCTCTGAATAAATCACTTTTTTACTCAATTTGATGTTTTTGTCTACAAATTGTTCACAAAATTTAATATCAGAAATTTTTGGAGCTTATTCTTATCTCGACCAGAGGGGTTTTTGTGCGTTGCAAATTTATGTAAATCAAATCTTTTTGCAGTGATTTAAGTAGAATTGATACTTCCTTGCTTTTCCTCATCTTGTGTGTAGGCGTAAGAATTTCCCAAAACGCTAATCCTACATTTCGGCTTGCAGATCCCGTGAGCGCATCAAGCACGGCTCCCTGGATTCCGCTCCTGTGCCCACCGGCAGCAGCAACAACACCACCAATACCACCAACAATGTCAGTCGTAACAGCAGCAACAACAACAGCAGCAGTGCGGCTTTAGACGAGTATCAGTACTTCGCGCCGAGTGACCCCAACAACCCAAACAACCAGCCCCAGCCGCAGCCAGCGCCAAAAAGCAGCTTGCCAGCATCTGTGACCATCCCCAGCCTGAGTCTCAGCCTTAGTCAGTTGCCCGCTGCTCTGCAGCAGCAGGCCCAGCACCTTCAAGCTCTTCAGTTGCAGCCAGACGTGACGCTGACCTCGCTGCAGAAACAGCCGTCCCTTTCCCAGGCCACACCCACGCCGATGTCCCACTTATCGCCCGCCCAGTTGTTGTCCAGCTCGCGCTCCTGCAGCTCTTCGCCCTCGATCTACATTAAGGACGAGCCGGGTTCTCCGGAAGTGGGGTGCCCGGATGAAGTGGTGTCTGGGAATGGCCGAGAGGGGACGCATAAGAAACTGGCTACAATTCGCCCTCAGACCAAAGAGCAGCTCAAGGCGCGGCTGCAGCTGCCACCACCCAAAAATACATCGGCTTACGCCACGTCGCCGCCCCATTTGATAATCAATGCCAACAACGAGCTTATCGACGCCGACGCCGGTGATCTGGAGGAGGATCTGGACGACTTCGACGAGGATGACGACGTTGCCGGACATTGCTTGCCAGTTGTCGATCAATCGGAGATGACAGGCGCCGACGGCAGGCTCTCAGCCGGAAGCAGCTACACCGGAGACGGTGGGGGATGCGGCAGGGGCCTGGGTCGAGCTCACACCCAGGCACGCCATATACCCACTTCCAGGGAACTGCTCTACATAAAATTCGGCGACTTTCTGGCCGCCCGACTAAACACTTTGAATGAGACTGTAGCTAACGAGTTGATGAACAAGATGCTGCTGCTAATCGCCGAGAAGTGATGATTGTAGGGACCGAGAACGCCTCTGAAACGGATAAATGTTGAACGGAGTAGGTGAGTGCCATTAAATTCTCATTGGGGACAACGTCTGTCCGTCCGTCTGTCCGTCCGTTTCTACGCAAACTAGTCTCTCAGTTTTAAAGCTATCTGCTTGACACTTTCCCAAAAGTTGTCTTTCTATTGCAGGTAGTATATAAGTCGGATCGAGTCGGATCGGACGACTATAGCATATAGCTCCTATAGGAACAATCGTATAGCTGCCAGGAACTATCGAATAATTAAGCTGCAAATCATCATAGCTTCAATGTTTTTAAACATACGCAAGTAAATCATTATTTTAATGTTTTCAAGAATATTTACTTTTTGCAATAGCTGCAAGGGTATATGAACTTCGGTTAGCCGAAGTTTGCTTCCTTTCTTGTTTGAGTTTGGATTTGTTTTAGTCCACAGGAAAGATATGGGTGTAATGGATGAAACGAGGTGAGTGGATGAAATGATTCGTCTAACTTTCCCAGAGTTCTTCATAGCTTTTTAGGTGAAAGCTGTGGATGATTTTAAATGTTTCGTCTTGACTAGCCGATAATCCGGTTTCGAGTAAGATGATTAGTGAATTGGAATAGTGGAGGACTGTAGTAAACCTAAAAAATTATGTTCTTAAATTATTTTTATGTATAATTTTTCCGGTTTGTGTTTTAACGGTGGTTATTTTATTTTCCGCTACTCTCTCGGCTAGGTGTAAGTTTATTTCCTAGCCCATTATCTATTTTTACGTGGATAGTGATCAGTGTATATTAACACTTTTGAATACCCGTTAAGATAATGTCTTAAAGTTTGAAGCGCCCAAACGATAGCGAGCATCTCTCTTTCGTTAGTTGCGTAGTTCCCTTCAGTTTTTGACAGGGTGCGCGAAATGAACGTTATTGGCCTATGATTTTGTTCCAAAACTGCGACTATTGCGTATCTTGAAGCGTCAGTAGAAAGTTGGAATTCTTTTTAGAAATCTGGAAAGGCAAGAGTAATTTTAAGTTTCTTGAATGCTGTAATCGAGTCTTTGCTCAAGTTAATATCAGTTCTGCTTGACTTGGTCTTAAATATACGACCTTCTTCGCCTCTTAGAAGAATGGTTAGAGTTTTGCTATTTTCGCGTAATCTTTTATGAACCGCCTATAATAGCCTGTCATGCCCCAAAAGGAACGGAGATCTTTTAATGTTCTTGGAAATGGAAATTTTGTAATTGCCATTATTTTGTCTTGTTACTCCATTTTCTGATTAGATCGGCGAAATGCGCTGTTAAGCTTTACTAGTTGTATTTTTACGGATTGATAAAAGAATTTATTTATTAATTATATTATTTGGGTGAACCAATTATTTTTTGATAGATTTTTAACACAATCTCTATTCTTTTCTTCCATGACGAATATTCACTTTTTTTTCTTGAAAAAAATTCTCTGAGTGTCTGAACAATGTCTGGTAATTTTTCTAACTCGCTAAGATAGTGTGCTAATTTTTTTTTAGTTGTTTGATCTGCATATTTGAAAAAATCTTTATTTGGATTAAGTATTTCCTTTACTTGGCTACTACGACTCGCCTCTAAGACAGTTTTAATGTTTTCCTCAATGTCTTTCTCGGTCATGATTCGCGGGTTCATTTGTGCGATTCTGGCTGATGAGGGTCGGCAAGATTCGCGAGTCTATCTGCCAAATCTAGTTCGGTCATTTTGGGTTAGGATATATGAGCAGTGAGTTGAGGTTGAGTTTACTTTTAATTTTAATTACTTAGAATTCGGAAGTTTTTGCATAGGGAATTAAAGTGTGATGTTTTTATTATGGGTGGATTTTTGTAATTATTGTGTGTGGATTTTATTTTCTCTATATTTTGAGTCTTTTTTAATTAATTTAATTTAATAATTTTTGGGTCAAAATTTAGGGTATTATAATTTGAGTCAGAAGTTTGCAACGCAGTGAAGGCTACGTTTCCGACCTATAAAGTATATACATTCGATCTACCCATGTCCGTCTGTCCGTCCGTATGTCCGTCTGTCCGACCGTCTGTCCGTCCGTTTCTACGCAAACTAGTCTCTCAGTTTTAAAGCTATCTGCATGAAACTTTCCTAAAAGTTGTGTTTCTATTGCAGTTAGTATATAAAATTATAAATTTGCTGTTTTTTAATAATTTTTTTAATTGTTCTACATATAGAAATAGTTAAATATTTAACAATTACGGTTTAAATTTATCAAATTCGGACGACTACAGCATAAAGCTCCCATGGGAACAATAAAAATATTACAAATTTTTGTTTTTAATTTAACTTTTTCATTTTGTAATTTTTTTCAGAAACTCTTTTTGACTTATTAATAATTTGACAGTTCAGAATTACTGTTTTTTTTATTGGAAAACGATATCATTTAGCTGCCATAGGAACTATCAAATAATTGAGCTGCAAATCATCATAGCTTCAAGGTTTTTAAACATATACGCAAGTCAATCATAATTTCAATGTTTCCATGAATATTTAATTTTTGCAATAGCTGCAAGGGTATATGAACTTCGGCATGCCGAAGTTTGCTTCCTTTCTTGTTTGTTGATAAATATAATAAAACTCAAGAATAATCTCTGGATGATTTTATCGAATTAAATTTGTAAACCAGTGTTATATGTGATCTTTTTGAATATCGCTTATAATAATTACGGTCCCTTCTAAAAACTTTTAGTTTAGGTTATTAATAAAAGTAGATAGGAATGTTCAGCTCAAAAGTTTTGCACGCCCGTAGCTTTGGTGCTCGCCAAAAATTCTTTAGCTACTTGGCCCACTGAACAAATTTATTGCACTGACCACTTTATTTAGCAGCACACACATTTAAATTTCTGGTTTTATTTACACACAAAATACCAGGCTCATACAAAAGTTGTAATTTCCGGACGCTGAAGGGGGCCCCAGACACTTACTCAGACTCGCAGACGCACGGACTGCCGAACTGAATAGAACAAGTTTTAAGATTTGAGAGAATTTCACGAATAAATAACATGCGCATGCAACGTGACAGGAGCCAAGACCGCTCTCTTTTTCCTACCCCATGACCCATTTCCCAGAGGCCCAAAAGCGAACTGACTACGCACAATAAGCCAAAAATAAAAATTAGACCAAAAAGAAACTATTCGTATACAGCCCTTAGCATTGGTTTTGGACTTGAACTCGACCTCCGTCTTTTCGACACGCTGGCTCGTTGACGAGTTGCGGAGAGGGGAAAAAATTAAGGATTTCCAAATATGCGACCGTCTTACACCCTGGAATGCGCATTCTAGTATGCTCTGATTTTGGCCTTAATAAATGGTCAACCATTCAGGGTTACACGAATAAATATAAAAATAAATAAAACGTATACATAACGATTATTTTATATATTTATATTATTTCTATGGGAGCTATATAGTAAAGTCGTCCGATTTTGATGAAATTTAAACCGTAATTCTAAAATATTTAACCATTACTATATATCAAAGAACTAATAATAAAATTAAAAAACAGCAAAGTTATAATTTTTTTGTATTTTTTTCCGATTGTTCCTATGGGAGCTTTATGATATAGTCGTCCGATCCGGCTCGTTCCGACTTATATACTACCTGCAATAGAAAGAATCCAGATAGCTTTAAAACTGAGAGACTAGTTTGCGTAGAAACGGACGGACAGACGGGCATGGCTAGATCGACTCTGCTAGTGATGCTGATCAAGAATATATATACTTTATAGGGTCGGAAATGTCTCCTTCACTGCGTTTCAAACTTCTGACTGAAATTATAATACCCTCTGCAAGGGTATAATAATTATAAACAAGAAAGAAAGCAAACTTCGGTAAGCTGAAGTTCATATACCCTTGCAGCTATTTCAAGAATTAAATCATTTTGAAAACATTGAAATTATGATTTACTTGCGTATATGTTGAAGCGATGATGATTTGCAGCTCAGTTATTAGATAGTTATTTTATATATTTTTATTATTTCTATGGGAGCTATATGATATAGTCGTCCGATTTTGATGAAATTTAAACCGTAATTCTAAAATATTTAATCATTACTATATGTCGAAGAACTAAAAAAAAAATTAAGAAACAGCAAAGATATAATTTTGTTTGCATTTTTTTCCGATTCCTATGGGAGCTTTATGATATAGTCGTCCGATCCGGCTCGTTCCGACTTATATACTACCTGCAATAGGAAGACAACTTTGGGAAAGTTTCATGCAGATAGCTTTAAAACTGAGAGACTAGTTTGCGTAGAAATGGGCGGACAGACGGACAGACGTGGCTAGATCGACTCGCCAAGTGATGCTGATCAAGAATATATATACTTTATAGGGTGGGATATGTCACCTCCACTGCGTTGCAAGTTTTGACTGAAATTATAATACCCTTTGCAAGAGTATAAAAATGAAGACGAAATTATACTTGATGTATTTCTGGTAAAGATTTAGTCTCGAAATAAGTATTATGATTAAATATATGAATATCATATCTAACTAAAGCGTAAAATTATGAAAGCCTTGTCGAACTGTGTGAAGCCCATGAAATAAAAAGAACAAAGGTGGTCATGGTAGGATAGGGATAAGGGCACTGAATATTACTACAGTGTCCTCGTTCATCCATTGTTTCATTCTTTTTACTTTCATTTCTAATTTTCCCTATAACAGCACGCGATATAATTTCTATAAAAATGTATATGAAGTTGACCATTAGAGTAAAGATCAGTTGATTTCTTCCCACTTCGCTAACGAACTGATAAGCTGAAACAAACGCGAGCCTCGCTGCTCTCTCTATTTACTTACCAATCGCTCCATGTATACTATCAACGTTGGCTGCTACAATTTGTTTTGTTTGTTTATTCCAAAACCCAAAAAATGCAGCACAGTGTAGTCAAAATAGGTACTTCCAGGAAAGAGAACGCGACATTCGTACCACTAAAAAAAAGAAGTAATTTTTGACTTCATTCAGAGTAATTTGGAAATCAAAACTGTTAAACCATAGTAAAATAACGTATTTTTCAAATTTTTTGACTTTGT